AGTTCCTTTTCTTGACTGCAATACTATATAAAATATATGGAGAAAGAGATCAGATTGCCTTATATCCTCTCTCCATGAAAATAAAAATCCTCCCACTACCGTCAGTCATTCTCTTATTATCTAGGTTTAGATCTCAAATTTCTTTTAATATTTTTCTAATTTTCACCAGCTTCTGAATTTAATCTTATTGTGCTTAGTGTTTTTTCTTCATACCAAGGTTAGTACTTTTCATGTAATCTTCAAATTTAATGGACATTATGCACTTCTCAAACTTATGAAAATGTTTGTTATACTTAAATCATCATATATTGGGTGCTAATATGTGTGAGACTGTATGTAATATATTCTAAGTAAATCAAATTATGTAATGTTATATACCCATAATTCATTAGTTTTTTTTTGTTTTGTTGTATTTTTTTTGAAAACTAGTGGCAGGTTTAGTCTTCTCTACCTTGATTTCTATTCATTCACCATGTAACCAAGTTGGAAGAATCAGCTCTTGATTCATAAAAGATGGTTATTTATTCAGTACATGGAGGAATAGAATGACCATGAAGCAAGAGTCTGCTGCTAAATCATAATGTTCCTAGAGAAGAAAGAACTTACTTATTTTCCGCCATCCTTCGTGACCGGCTCTATTAATTTCTTATTGCTACCTTTACAAATTGCCACAAATATAGTTACTTAAAACAACACTAAATATATTAGCTTACAAATATGGAGATCACAAGTCTAAAATGATCAGCAATGCTTCATTTCCTCTCCAGGGAAAAATCTGTTTCCTTCTCTCATCCTGATTCTAGAGGACACCTTGCCTGTATTTCTCCGCTTATCTCTCCCAGCCCTCCCCGCCACCTCATCCAATTACTGTTTTTACATCTTTCTCTCTGATTCTTGCCTTCTGACCCCTTTTATAAGGATACTTGTGATTACATTAAGCAAACCTGGATAATCTAGGATAATCTCTACATCTCAAGGTGCTTAACATTATAACATTTGCAAAATCTCTTTTGCCATAAATGAAAAGCAGTCAGGTTCTAGAAATTATGATGTGAATATTTAGAAGGCCATCGTTTTTCCTACCACACCCATAACAGTTAATCACTGAAATCCAGATACAAGGAAAGATTGTCGGAAAGGTGCCTCATTATTTTCTGGAATACTTTCATATTTATTATTTTGTGAATTGTTTAAAAAATTGTGCAAGTATATACATGAGAATTGATATGCATAAAGTCATATATCCACTATGGCAATGAATGTATTTTAGTCACTACATTTATAAATAAATTTTGGTAGTACAAATTATCAATCAGAAAATTTTTTTTTAGGTGTCAAACATCTTAATTCTGAGAACTTTCAGTGCCATAATGTTATATAAATATAAACTGATAAGTGTATAATTCAGCTAATAATATTATAAACATTTTGTACTCCTCTGAATATAGTTTACTTGTGAAAAGTCAACGGATGAAAAATTTACACTTACATAAATAACTGGTTAATAAGATTAACACATTCATTCAAACAAATTCTTTCATATTTTCATTGTTTTTCTTTTCTCCTTCAAAAAACTAGAAAATACAATGCATTGTATAAAAAATAATTTGCCAATGCCTTTTACTAATTTTTATGGGCTGACTTCATTCCCCCAAATTCATAGGCTGAAGTCCTAGTCTCCAGTCTGATGGTATTTGGAGGTAGGGATTTGGGAAGGAAATTAGAGTTAAAGTAGATTGTGAGGATCTTTTCCTTAGGATGGAATTAGTGTCCACTAAGAAAAGGAAGATCTCTGTTTCTTTCTTTCTCCCTCCTCCTCCACTCTCACACACCTAAGTGTGCCATCTAAGTGTGAATGCAGTGACATGGCAGTCACCTGTAAACCAGAAAGCAGACCTTGATAGGAACCAAATCTGCTAGCACTTAATCTTGGAATTCTGAAATATTGTTTAAATCACCCAGTTTATGGTATTTTGTTATGGCAGCCTACATGAGCAGACAAACACAGAAATTAATAACAGTCCTTCCATTTCCTCATACTTCACTTCTCTCATTTTCAAATAAACACGCTGCATTACTTCACAACATGGTGAGAGGATTAATATGGTGGATAACATGGTATTTATACGACTATGAAGTCTGATGCATAGGGTCATCATTTTTAATATATTTTGGCTTACTAAGCCAACATATGTCAAATATTCTGAAAATATTTTAAATAATGCTATCACCTAACAACATTGATAAATGTTGGATTAAATTTAAGTATAATAAATCTTTGTAAGAATATTCAAGAGGAAAAGTTCCATAAAATATTTAGTTTAATGCATTAAATGTTTATTGAGTCACTCCTCTGTAGGGTGCTTTGCTAGGTGGTGGGGATATAAAGTGAAGGGGTTGAGAATAAATATGAAAAACAATTGTGGTGGTTTCTTCTTGAGGAAGTGATAGTTACAGAATGTTCTTTGAAATAAGTTAATTTCTGCACTCCAGTATATGTATGTAAAAACTAATGATTAATTATACAAAAACATACACAACAATGCAAATGCTAGAAATGCTTCTATAAAGTACTGATTTTGGGGTTAATGCAGTTATTGTAATTTTATGTTAACACCATAGACTTTTGGGGGAGATGGGGAGGTAGTCTTGCTCTGTTGCTCAGACTGGATTGCAGTGGCACAATCATAGCTCATTGTAACCTCAAATTCTTGGCCTCAAGTAAGCCTTCTGCCATGACCTCCCAAAGCACTGCTGCTATTAGAGTCATAACCCTCCCTGCCCAGTCTCACTATAGTTCACTTATAAATATTTATATTTGATTCTATTATTTGTCATTGCTTAATCCACATATGGTAACCTATTTGAATTAATAATAATTGTCAAATGGATTTTAGTGTTGATATTTGCAGTTTAGGTTTGCCATTTCCAAAAACAAACAAACAAACAAAAGTTTGCATGCAATATTCAAATATATAAAAGAACACTGGTGTGACTTCAATCACTCTAGTACATTGAACATATCTAAATGATTGAACTCCTGTAGCTTTTCTTCAAATTAATTTTTTTTTCCCTAGTCAGAGTCCCACTCTGTTGCCCAGGCTGGAGTGCAGTGGCATGCTCACAGCCACCGGAGCCTCAACCTGCTGGGCTCAGGTGATCCTTCCACCTCGGTCTTCTAAGTAGCTGAAACTACAGGCACGCACCACCACCCCAGCTAATTTTTTGATTTATTGTAGAGATGAAGTCTTGCCAAGTTGCCCAGGCTGGCCTTGAACCTGTGGGCTCAGGCAGTTCACTCACCTCGGCCTCCCAAAGTGCTGGGATTATAGGTGTAAGCCACCACTCTTGACCATAGAACAGGTAGGAAAAAATAAATAAAACATGTGTTGTGTTTTGTTTCATTTCATTTGCCTAATGTTTATATCACAAGGTACTCTCAGTCTCTGCAGTTCTTTCATATTGTGTGTGTGTGTGTGTGTGTGTGTGTGTGTGTGTGTGTGTGTGTGCGCGCGTGTGTGTGTGTGCAGGGGCTAATTAAACATCTTATTTTGAGATGACAGCTTTCCCCTTGTAGCAATCCTATTTCTATATTGTTAGAGAATTTAAAAAGTAGAACAAAGAGGTGACAAGATGGAGTGCGACATTGCAGGTGGTTGGAATTATCTACAGTTTGTATTACGTGGAGGAAATAGTCTAGGGAACAATAACCTAATGCATACTCACACATTCACACACACACAGCACTGAGGATATTTCCTGAGAAAATAAAATTACATCACGTAAGCTTCCTCAGTCAAGTGACTGTGGGGTGGTTAGGGATAAACTAAGGCAGAGGAATTAAAAACTTAACAACCAAAGAGGATTACTTAGCAACAAAATAGACTCAAAGAAGGTTGGCTGCAGTTTATTCATCCTTCTGCTACTTTTTATTTCACTTATTCCCTAGCCCAATCTCAAACAATACCTGTTATAGTGATATAATTGAATTCATTTAGAATTGATATGAAGTTATAAAACCTGCATTTAAAGTCCCTTAAGTTACTAGTTATTGTACGATTACACCAATCACTTAACCTCTCTGGTTCTCAACTTCATCTTAAAATGATCCTTAGAGTCCATTCAAGTTTCAAAATACTTTTTTTGATATTAAAATATAGTGGTCAGTTTACTTAACAGCATAATGATTGAATAAGGTAACGTGAAGATGCTTGCACAAGTAGGTATTTAAGAAACTTTAGATACATTCAGAGAAAGTTCTAAAAACAAAATGAACATAGCAAAGGGGTGAAAAGGAATACCTTCCAGTATTTTAATGATGGTAATTACATATGTTTACATGTGTGTCATGTGTGACTTTCTTTTGTATGTAAAAAACAGTCTGAATTTAATTTTCCTAATATGATCTATTTTTGTTATAAATTACATGATTAAAATCATCTGAAGCGTATAAATATTTTGCTTCACAAATAATTTTTTAAGCAACTTGTTATAAAATGTATCTTGAATGTTGCTTTAGATTAGAAATTTTAGTAGGTGAAGGTAATTAAGAAATATATTAGTTGGTACTCACAGTACTAAAGAAGGCAACAGGATAGCAAACAAAAGCATTGCCAATAATACAAAATGTACTAAAGTAGCTGTTGTGCATTGTGATTATGCTATGATTATGCAAGAAAATACTTTCTCAGCATAAAATTGAAATGTATAATGTTTGGAGTAGTCTCAATACAAACTAGATTTGTTCTGAAAGTAAAAGCCAGCAAGGAGATATAATAGCTCTATTTGGGGGCTGATCACATGCAATTGTATGAGTTAGTGTGGTGCTCAAATACTTAAATTGTTCAATAAACGTTGGATGCTATATGCTATTATAACGTTCAGAAACTATGGGTCACAAAATTAATATTTTTGATTTCCTGTCTTTTATTTCTTTTCAAATATTTAAGAATGGCAACCTCTCATTTATTTTGCATGTAAAGTAAAACATTTAATGTTACCTTTTTTCTACTTTAAGTCAGGTTGTGTCCTCAATAAACAGTTGTATTTTTTTGAATAGTAAATTAGGTAAGTAGCTTTAGGCAACACATTGAGTTCTTCTATGAACAATATTCTTGCTACCTCTCACGTGTGTTTGTAATGAATGTAATTCTGAATAGTCATCCTTTTTATGTGGACCTCAGATCCTCCTAGCAGCACTTGTCAGCTTCTTTAAAGCACTGAGAAATATACAGAAATCATCCTCTTGGTAAAATGAGACAATAGAGGAAACACTTCTGCTCTAGGATGTCATTAGAGCTGGAAAACAACCTGAGGAGAGAGTTAAAAAAAAAAAAAGTTATACCAACATGTCCTTACTGAACCTTTTTTTCCCCCTTGCCAATACTGGCAGTAATAAAGACTACAGATACTTGAGCACATGCGTATTTTCCCTTGCTGTTGTAATATGCCACTTGACTATTTCTCTTCTGAGATTTTACATTAGTGATTTATAGAATATTGATCATCTAAAATGAGGTTTATTCTTATCAATGGGATTTTAAAATCATATATTTTAGATGAGGTTAAGGCCATCCTGTTTGCATCAGAAATAAATTTTGTACCAACTAGCTTATCCTTTCTTATTAGAATTTGAGAACAAGGGATTAAAGTAGGACTTACAACAACAGGGAAAAAATTTAATATACAGATTTTACCAGTAAAATATACTTTATAATTCAAAATTGCAATAATTTCTCTTAGAGCAAGTCTACTTTCATTTTTACAACCCTAATGGTCAGCTTACACTTGAAAACCAAGTTTACCCAATTCACAACACTTGTTATTCCCCACATTCAGTGCCATATGATGTAAGCACAGTCAAGAGCTGTTTGGCTTCTCTCCACTCCTATGCCTCCCCCCTCTTCACGTTATGAGCACAGACAGGCTGGGGGTGCTATAGACTCGTGGAAAACCAGAGGGTTTTATGAATTTATCCTATTAGCACAACATGCAAACTGCCATTGTGGACACCTCGAATTTATAGCAGTACGAGAACCAGAATTCAGATGTGCACGTAGTTAAGTGGTTCCTGCAGCTGTCATTTACCTGCAAAAGGTGAAGTACCACCATTCTCATTTTGGGAACTGAAATAATATTATATTTTAGCACATGGCCAAGGCATACCAAAAGCATAAGCACGTGGCCACCACCCCAAAGTATTTTCTTTCAAACAAGTAGGAATCTGCGGGCTTCCCTTGTTTGGTTTTTACATGCAAAATATGAAGGCCCTAACGCGTTCTCATATGGTCTCCTTCACACTCCCTCCTTCGAAGGCACCCTGATAGGCGACCACCTTCCTAAGAAAGAGGGGGAAAAAAATTCCACCGGCCCGGCTCGTGATTGACATACAGAGAGCAGATGAATGAACGGAGTGGGGGAGGGGCGGTGGGAAGCCATGTGTTTCCTCTGCGGCCGCAGCGGAGGCGCTTACTGACCCAGAACGTTTTTATCCAGGGCCGATGTGGACTCGCTCTGTCACGCCGCGCCTCCGCCTCTACCAGAAATCACCGTCCACCCTGCCTTGCCCTTCTCTTTCTACAGAAGAGAGCGAGAGGCGGGCAATTCTTCAGCTTCGGGGCCCGGGGGAAGGCAGGGCGGG